CTGTTCCAAAGGGTTTTCTTACAAATCAATATTGCATCCGATCTGGGTTGCTAATCAAATCAAAAAAGTGCGATTTGAACAAGTTTTAGTTACTTTCACCGCGCTAACACTCACTGTTTCGCGTATTTTAGCCTTATTTCTCACTTGGAGAGCACATCAGGGATAATATGCTGTGACTTCCCGTCGTTTTCAAATTTCTACAGCATTACGCACAGAAATAGAAGAAACTAGCGAAGAACCTCCCAAATTGCTCTTTTTCGTGTACATTCAAAGTTTAAAAAAATGAAGCAGGCAGAACAAGCACGTAAGATTTCAATTGAATTTGCCCCGTTGGTGCCTCTTTGTATGAAAGAAATTGATTCTGCGTGCAACAGTGTTTACAAAGAGTTATGGGTTCACTAAAGAAGTTTGGAGAGCCCTCAAGAGGCAGCTCTGAGTATGCTTCTCTAATCTCTATGGTGCTCTCCAAACTTCCTCGGCCTGCATCCATAAATCCCATAACTCGATATACGCACGCAAAGCATGAACTATCTCTCACCAAACATCCCACGTGGGTACTTGAAACGTTCTAAATCAAAGCCAACAGCATGTCCTATTTAAGAAATGCTCGAGCGTGGCGTCTTCATCATAGCGTATCTCCTGGTTTCTAACGTCTCTTTTGGCCTAACGGTAGTTCCGATGGTCTAAAGGCCAGCACATAAGATTGTAATTGGCGATATCGTTTTACATCTGTGTCAAATAAGCAAGTAGTAGAGATAGATTCCTACTTAGCTGAATGCTTAAGTTGGACTTTGGCATTATGTTAAGCGCGGTATGAATAACATTGATAAAGGACTTTGCATCACCGCGGTGGCTTTCCTCTTTCCAAATCATAAGTGAAGGAGCTGAGAGGGGATGACGCGTGATAGAGGACTAATAAAAAAAAGAAGAGTTACCGCCACCTACCTTTTATGATTCAAAGCTACTTACATTCGCCCCCTTCTGCACGCAGGTATGCGAGTCGGATTACGCTTTGTCAGCAGTTTAGTTTTCTTTTTGCAACGAGTGAGGTAAATTACATCGTGTTCTAGCATAAATGTTCAGGTATGAGTGATGAACTAAATCAGTTGGATAGCTCTTCGGATGGGCGTAAATTTTAAGTATTGCTTCCACGTCTGAACAATAATCATAGTTCTCTAAATATTAGCGAGTGCCAACCAATGTGACTTCAGGAAGATATTTTCGTTTTCGCAATGATAATCTCCTTCGTCTTCTGATCACTACGTTGTCAGAAGAACAAAATACGAGGGAAAACATTATAACGTAATGACTGTTAATAAAAACAATATTATGTCGAAAGCCACACTCGCCTATGGTTAACGGCATACTTGCTCCAATAACACGTTTTCTACGCTGTATTAGTTGATTGATTGAAATTTTAAAGGTAACACAGAAATAACAGTAACACATAAAGATTAAACTTTGCCCTGGTGGCAAACAAATACTTGGTGTAAAGTTTGCAAAAGAACGAGTCGACAACTGACAAGAATTTGGACAAAATCAGGCATTTCTTTCGTGGGGTCCTCACACTGTGAGTCAAGTGGCTGAAATTGCCAGCTTGCAAGCAGTACACGACTGCCAAAGTAAAGCCGATCACATCCATGCATTTTACTGGATAAAATCAATGTAACGAATAAATTATTTCACGATGCGCATCGAAGGGAAGAAAGCATAGTTATAAGCTTTTAGGCCATGTCTGACTTTTTACAGAGGACATTTTTAACTGCATTTAGCTTTCGTACGAAAAATTAGTTCAAGATAGGTCTGGTCAGTGATAAAGATAAAATGTATGATAATTTTTTTGAAATGACTTAAAAAACACCCTATCCATTTACTCAAAATGCTAAACAACATCATGTACATTATATCAACGATATTTTCGATACCGTTCTTTCTAAAAGACTGTCCTAAACTTATGCAGCGGCGGAATTGACTATTACAGGTTTCCTTAATTCAAGCTTCATTCTTTTGTGCGAAGAACTGACCGCGGTACCTGAAATGAACACAGTAATTCTTTGGGAGGCATTAGTCTCTGTATAGATTGCGCTACATGTGGCGGTATACTTTTCGCAGAGTTGCTCAAGCCTAAGCCAGAGAGAAAAAATAATTATGCTTAACTCCGTCACTTTTCTTTTTCGCATTGTAGTTTATAGTAATGCTACGTTTACAAATAAACACAAAACTGGCCAGGTGATCACTTTGTTTCAAACTATACATTTTTTTTATTCTTATGGTATGAAAGCCGAGTCAAAGTTAGGATCCTCTGATAATGAAACATAACACTGTTGTTTCTCACTCACTCACAAAGAACTATTGAAAGATGCTACATTCGTTTCTCATAAACTTCAATGGAAGCAGTAATGTTTGTATGATAAAGGAGACAAGATCATAAGTTAATCCCTTATGGTTGCGTGAGTTCGCAACCATAGGGTTTCAATTAGTCTTGATTGTTTTTTTAGTTGGGTAACTCGCATGGTTACTTAAGCAATTAAGAAAAAGTTCCGCGTTGCATAACAAAGTCAAATACATGAAATTCCCATAAGAACGGATTGATAATTAAGTTGAACGTTTTTTAGTGATCTACTAACGATTAAGTCAAACAACAGTACGACTGAAAATCAATCAAACTGATGCGAAACCTGCATGCTGTGTCCACCAGGAATGGATTAAACTCGTCATTCAAGAATATGCTTATTCTTTATGAACCGATAGGAGTTGCCATTTAAATCGAAAAAGTTCAGCTCTCACAAGCTTGTTGTTCTTTTCACCGTAAAAATATTTACTGTCGCCGGCATATTACGCACTAATGGGAAACATAGTTGGCTAATGAACTAAAGGCATGCAATTTCTCTTCTATAATGAAGACAACCGCGCGTTAGAACTTGATCTCGGTCGCAAGAAAAGTTGTCAAGTAACTTATAAGCTGTTGTAACTCACCTTCAACGAAAAACTTGACATGATATCGTCAAATGCGCTCCTACCTACATCGTGTGACAAAGAGAATACTTACAGGCCAAAAGAATTCACCGGGCCAATATGCGTTATGGTTCATCTATAAACTCCGCTTTCAGATGGAAAATATCAATTTACCCGGCTTTAAGGCGTTACAATACAGCCTCAGTCCTAGTACTTCCCACAACGAGACCAGGCCCTCCACAAGAACACTTAGGTCTCTTGGGACAATTTTTTTATGTATGTTTTTTTAATTCGCACAAAGGCGACCGCTTCAGAAGTTCTGTGTGCTGATTAAAATGTCATTAAACCAGATTAAACTTTTCAATTTGTTCTTTTAAAGCTAATTGTTCACCTCTTGAGACATCATTCAACCGTGTCGGGTTTTGCAAAGTTGTGATCGCAGAGGTGGTACGGAACTAGGTGCGAGAAAAAAATTCAGAAACGGAAACGTCATGTAAAGATCTCTTGCTGTGGAAAAACTTAACCTGTTACATACTAATAATCCACGAGATGTTTTTTTATGTTTCGCAATTCTTTGTGAAGATTTATGTCAGTCACATCACTTTGCTTGTCGGCGTACTTTGTCATGTTGGAGTCAATGAAAATCGTGTTTATACGGCGGAAAGTTGCACTTGATTATCGCCCCACGCGATGAAAACACTGCGAAAGCAGGACTCATGAAGATTCTTTGTTTCAATTAAGTAAAATATACCGTAAGTATACCATATATGGCCAATTATAAATACAACTGCAACTTTAAAGATTAAAAATTGCAGAGTTGCGGAATATTCGTTTTCTAAGGGCGAGTTAGACATTAGATTACTACTGCAGCTTATAAAAAGCGCGAAACTATCCAGGCCCCTAGTGTACTAGAAAAGGATTACACATACTAGAGAAGGACTTTATATTGCTTACAAGAAAAATGAACTTTAATCTTAAATCACTGAAAACCGAGCAGATCAGTTTTCTATTTGGTATACTTTGAAGAATTTCTATCGTCCACAAAATCTATTGCCTGTTTCTCGTAAGGAAAGCATGACTTAAAATCAGCTAAAGGCACCAGTATTCACGGGAAGTTATAATTCCTTTAAGAGCATCAGGATGTTTTCTTGTTTACTTTTTGTAACTAATTAAGGAGGCTTTGTAATTTTATCATAAATGAGGCTTTGTGTATTTGCTTTGCTATTAAACCGGTAAAGGTCCGAAAAAACCGCTATTTACTTCGTATTCATGTGTCGCAACAATATACTGCCGACACTCAGAAAAAAGCTTAGTCCAACCAACGACGTACTTTTCGCACTTGCCTTAAAAAAATTATCGTAAAAACTCAAAAAATAATTTGTGTTGCATCAAAACACTTGGTGAAAAGAAACCTTTTTGTGCATTACGTTGGCCAAGTTTTGTTTCTGTAAGGAAAATTCAAAAGCGTGTTCAGGTTTCTTACCCAAGAAATGTCTGATCGTGAGTCGACTCGAAGAGGAAAAACTTATCACAGGATGAGGTTACAATGAAATTTGCGTCAAAGAAACCGCCCAACTGATGCCTATTCTCTTTTATTAATTAAAACTAAGTACAATTTATTTGTTGAGTAGATTAAATCAATACTAAACCCATTATTGACGGAAGTAATCAAAACTAAAAATGCAAACGAAAGAAACTTAGTTGTAGATGGATTCTTGAAAAGAAAGAGTATTTTTTCAGCAGAGGATATAGTCCTCTCTACTTCTGTCTGAGCGAATTTTTTCTTTCCAAGACCAAAAAGAAGTCAGGCGGATAGAAAACGGAGCAAGGCGAATTAAAAAGGAAAAGCATAACTCGAAAGATGACGCGAATTTCGGCGGAGTGTCCTCTCACTCATCTCCCCCTATTATGACGCCTTGATTTTTTTACTATATTGTCAGTTACTACATCTTCCAAAGTTTGTTTTCCCCCCTGAGTTGTGTGCAGTTTGTACGCTTTCAGGACCCAAAGTTCAGCTCAATTATGTACTGGTCAGCGTACAGCCTTGTTCCTATTATGGCGGCAGTTCTCGTTCGAAGAGGGAACCTTACAAGTATCTGTCTTTTTAACCTTCCGATTTTAAGAAGAAGGTACTGGTTTCGTTCTTGCGTCGAGAGTAACAAAGCAGCTACTTTTAAGGCTGATCCATTTCGGAAATTTTTGAAAACAGTTCGCTTTTCCTCCTCTTTGGCCATGAGCTCTCTCGATTTGAGTGGAATTTTCCCCCCGATTGTAACGCCATTTGGAGACAACGAAGGAGTGAACCATGACAAGTTAAAATATAATTTCAGCAAGTGGAACGAGATACCATTCAGTGGTAAGAGGGTGTTTTCCTTAATAAGTAGAGATAAGGAGCTTTAAAATCTCTGAAAATTAAGGTTTCTCATGTGAGAAAAAATTGTAAAAACAAAATTATCCGAGGCCAATTTAGATCGCACGCGAAGCTCTTTTCTGATCTCATAAGAAAGATAAGTTCTCAACCTTATATTTGTTTTGATTTTCTTATATTGATTAATGAGGTTGATTAAGCTCATTCCCTCACAGCAGTTTAAAACATGACGCAGAGTTTGTCAAACTTCCGGAGACGATTTTGTTAAGACTCTTATTTACTAAACGAGTTGTCCGTAGTTAACAATTAGGTGGCTTTACTTAAAACACTTCACACACTTTAGTTTGATCAAGCTCATGGAGAAGTTTCATGTCCTTCTGAGGCGGTGAACCTCAAATGTTAACTCTTTATGGCGAGTTCTTATTGCTTTACTCTTAAAGTAGTGTTATAGTTATGAGGTGAATTGATCAAATGCATTAGTCACTGACCAAGTAACTTAGACCAATTGTAATCCTGTTACAAATCATGGCTTTTGCCAATTCACTGGATGTTTTATGTTTATAATGAATATAAAACTGTTTTTTGGCAGCATATAAAACCAGTTAACCAAACTATTAGATTTTGAAAAAAATGTAAAATTTCTGTTACTAAAAATGAAAATGAAATTATTGAACAAGAAAGGCTAAACTTTCTCTTATTAATTAACAATATGCTTTTAGGGGTTTGCCCAAGTGTTCAGTCAAATGAGCACCCAAGCACTCATTAAAATTTTGTCTCAGATGGAAGGCACTTATTGGAAGGAGGGTATTAACTGCAGGGGGAAAAAATTAAAAATTTGTCACACTGAATGGTACCTTTGTTGAAAATAAATTTTCAAATACTCTTAAAATATATCATTATTGATATGAACATGTGGAGGTGTCAATAACTTGAAATGACTTTGTGAAAAAGAAACTGTCTCCCACATGTCTGATGCTGGTTCATTTAAAGTCAACACGATTAGAAGAAAGATAGCTATAGACATGGGTTTTCTCTTTATACTTATTACCAGAGAAACTGACAGGGAGAGGAGGGCTACTTTCTTTCTAGAAAGACATAACTTATTTTGGTGAAAATGATCATTGATAGTGTGTACAGTAGCACTCTTAGTTGTATGAATTAGGTTAGGTATACATCCAAACATCTATTCTGTATTAAAACTAGGAGGATGAAATTGATGATTACTCTTGAATGGAAAGTGCTCAAGAAACATTTGCATCCATGAAAAGCTAATCTGCCAACAGTTTGCAGGTGTGCCAAATTGTGAGTCTTAGTATAAAGGTATCTTTTTATGAGATTCCAATTATCTCAGGAGTAAAACCTAGATGTGGTCTTTAATCTGGCTTCAGTTTCATTGAACATCTTATGCGACAGTTAAAACTCAATGACTTTATACTTTTTACTTGTGCCAGTACACGCACAGCTGCTGGATTGATTAATTTTTCATTACATAAACAATTAATTCTTCCACTAATATTACATTTGGATTTTTAGTTTTTTTAGTAGCATATATATTTTGATAATTTGACTGTCTAGAAAAAATTTTTATGGATAGTACAAATTTAAGAAAGTCTGTACTAAATCAGAATAAGTACTGTTTCATAAGTCAAAGAACAAATAGGTGACGTACCCAAGCAAGTAAACAGGATACTACACAGCACACAGCAAACAATTGCACTTTGGTACATATCAGTGAAGTCTTCAACAGCCCTTAAACAAAAGTGAGGTAGAAATGAAATGAAGGAAACAGCTTTCTAAAGTCATCTCAGTATAAAGTTAATGTGATAAAATTCAGATATCTGTAGGCACTTTTCGCAGCTGAAAACTTACCAATTATTGTAGTTTTCATTTTAGCACTTTAACACGCTCAGCATATATTTTGCTTTGTTAAAATTCTTGTCTATTTTCAACATCCAGTGAAATGGCCACTTTTTGTCATATAGAGATTTAAAATTGTGGATTGCCTCTTCAGCTAATGTGGTGACCTCTAGTGATTCACATTTAAGTTTTAGTGCAAAGCTTTTTGAATTATATGAAAATTTGTTTCACATAACTTTTCAATTATGCCAGAAAGGTACTGTTTGAAGTGGCTCAACAATTTGGCCACATCACCAATTTATTGTACTACTAAATTGGTCATTTCCTCAAAGACACGTCAATAAACTTGTCTGTAGACTTGGTGTCTCAACTGCAGTCTTTGTGTCTTATCTTCGTGGGCACAGCACTTAGCACTATACGCTGTTTCTTGCCATAGATATATGCATATAGAAAACTAGTCTTTTTTCACACCAAACAAATAAAGAAGAGCATTTGGAGGCCTTTGGAAATTAGAATTCTGTATTAAGAGTTAAATGCTCTTTATGAGATATATTATGTGTAAACGTAACATGTAATATATATATCAGGTCCATTAGAATTGATGCACCCAAATAGACCTGCTAATGTTTGGTGGATTCTCCAGTCTGCAATGATAAGCACATAGAATGATGTAAGGACTAAGTTCTTTAAAGGTGCAAAATCAACTTACATACATGTTTACTAGAAATTTCTTTAACTTTTCAGGTTGCTGTTTGAAAAATTAAAAAAATTTACCGACAGATATCAGAACTTCAATCTCAACACCATGCAAAGAATGCATGTTATCTTAATCTCTGGTTGAAATATTTAGCACGTTGTGTGGTAATGTATGGAAGTACATTTGATATTCTTCAAGTTGTATTTGCCAATTTTAATGCAGTGGTTACCTTTGTAGGAAAATTATTAACTGTATTTTCTCCCATTACTATTTTTTTTCTGAAAATTTAGTACTCTATCCTAGAAAACATCCTAGGGAACTGCACCGTCATCTTCTGAAATAAAACCATCACTTTTTTATATTATAATTTGAGAAAATTTTCATTACATCATTACTAAAAAGTTGTCCACGTAATTATTAACCCATGTTCCTAACATTATGCCAAAAGTTGCAGTTGATCACTTGCTGTTAAAGCAGTTGTTGTTGTATACTTGACTTGTCAACTTCTTTTAGTTAAAGGAGTTAGATGGTAATTCCTAGGGAATTACCATTTTTTGGAGAACCTGATGATGTGAAAATATGTCCAAAAATTTAAAGCTGTTCTAAATCTTTAAGGTTGTCTTTAAGAGTTTGCACATAACAGTCATTAGTGCTTTTCCTTCCTCAAAAGAGGCTTTCTCTAATTTACTACAAATTTGTTTTATTTTCTTCTTCATTTTAAATTTTAAAATATATTTCAATGGAGGCTGCATCAGATTTTTTTTGCTGGGTTTGAGAAATTGGTTAACAGTGTAAGTTTAAATTAAATGGGATTTTTAAACTGCAGGAACCCTGCATGGTCAAGTTGTAAAAGATGGAAGGGATATTGTAAGTGTCAGCTATCACTATATGAGGGTGTTATTAATTGCTTCTGAATTTGAGACAATTCACTTTCAGTCACTCAGTCTGGTATTGTGTTGTTTCTTTTATTTGTTCTGTGATTTGCTTCAGAATTTGGATTGTAGTCTTCAAACAGCTTCCTGACATGAGAGTCAATCAAATGTATTTTTTCACTTAGTGATTCAGATATTACTGATTTCACACTGTTCAAAACAGCTATCCATAGTAGTAAGGTTCAAGTTTTAACTGATATTGAATTCTTTATTAGTCAAGAAGTGTAGATATTGGCCATTTTGTTTCATTTGGCTGCTTATGGAGCTGATCTGCATATCGGTATGTAAATGTACAAATAAAGTAATATGAAAGTGGCTAACATCCATCCATCTTACCACATGGTAAGTCTTTGACAAATATTTTCTCTATACCCAGTGTAGGGTATTGAAAAACATACGTCAGTTACAAAAAGATCAAGGCCAACAGAAGAGATTTATTTACAAATTATTTTATTTCATGTGTTAGTTTAAAGTAGGTTTTTATGCTATACTGGCACAGTGTAAAGAATATCATCCTTTTAACTGCCAGACAGTAGTCAATAGTGATGAAAAGCCGATTTTCAGTCATGATGGGAATTACTGACACTATATTGAAATATACAGTTTCTGATTCTTTATGATCAAAATACCTCTACAGCACTATGCTTGTACTCTGAAAGTTTTTAAGTGCTCCCTCTTAAATTTAAGACCCTACTATGAGACAAGGGCTAATTGTTTAAGTGGCAGTGCATTCCATTTATGTGACCCAACATTTTTTGAGCACTTTACCTTGGCAACTGCCAATAGTGCCCAATATTTGCTGACAAGCAAACCTTGATGATCATGAAATTACAAATTTAAGTCATCAGCCTTAAATTTTTAATTTTCCTGTAGATGTTGTATGTCTCTATTTTTACCTCACATAGGCATGCTTATATGTTATTATGTTGTTAATGATTACGCATGTGTAGACGGATGTTAAATAAAAGCAAGGTTCTATGGTCATTAATTAAAGTGTGACAAGAACATCTTAACTGAAAATTGTGACTGAATAAATGAATGAATATTATTTATGTGGGTAAGTCCTCCACCAAATAAAGACTCTCTACAAGAACTAAAACATATATTTGCTAGAAATATCTTATACTAAAAAGTTCAGTGTTATTCCTTTCCCCCTACAAATCCTCTCCTTCTCCCCCTTCCCCCCCCCCCCCTTTTTTTGATGGGAAGATATGCTTTATTCCTCCCACATCCCTCATCTTAACAGTGAACAAATATTTTTCAACTAGTGTGCAAGAAAAGCACAATTCCTAGTGTGGCATATCCAATAACTGACTTTGAGCCCCTGACTGACTGATTAACCATATGGAAATTTGACTACCCACAAGAAGTGCCCTAATAAGTAAATATTGAAAAAATTGTTCTTGCATATTATTTTAACAACAAAAACAGAAATCACTTACAGCAATTATAGTATTATTTTGCTAAATGAAGAGCATTGAGGGGTGGTTTTAGGAGCATGTGAAGGCAGAAAACATAAAAACATCAAGGTCAAAAACTCTAGCCCTGAGTACCAAACATGCTTGTTTTAAGATACTACAAAACCTTGAGAAAATATTTGAAGTTAATTTTACTTCTTTTTCATTGGAGATCCAGCTGTTAATTGTTCTGTAATCACCTTATGATGGGAAAAGATTCTTGTGGGATTGATATCATTAAATGGTTTTGTGTTGCAGGGTATGTTGTTCAAGGATCCAATGGTGAATATGCATATATGAGAGCTGAAGAAAAGATTGATTTAGTTCATAAAGTGAGAGAACTAGCACCCAAAGGCAAACTTATTTTGGCAGGATCAGGTTGTGAAGGTAACAGAGATAGGAAGCAAAACTTAACAATAAGACTTAAAGCAGTCAATCCTAAACTTAGCTTGTGGGAAAAAAACATGTTCACTTTGACCTTCTGGCATCCCATAAGAAAACCTGTGCAGATAGGAAATTTTGCTAACGAGGAACCCTTATCTGTGAGAACAGTTACAAAAACTGGAAAAGTAGTAAGCAAATTTCTACACTTGCAATTTGTGCTTCCTGTTATTAAATCACACTTCAGGCAGTTTTGGGAGGTTTCAGAGAGAGTGACACCTTTATGCTACAAGCAAGCTCCTCTGCTTAAATTTCTGTATTGTGCTTTTGTTTTAGACAAATAAGAGACTATTGATTTTACAGTCTGCACTGAAACTCATAAAGTTTAATTTTAGTTTTGGTTAGTTACTCCTTCACTTGTACTGCTGGTTGGGGGTATCTCTGGTATCTCTTTGATCATTTTTGGTCTCTACGCATTTTTCCAATAAAGCTACAAGGGATACCATAGAGATGACAAATAAAATGGCTGAGGCAGGTGCTGATGCAGCACTTGTTGTGACACCTTGTTTCTATAAGAGTGGTATGACTGCAGAAGCTCTTGAGAAACACTTCACTAAGGTAAAGCATTGATATTAAAGTGAACTAAATTGTATTGACAAGAATTTTCCCAAATTATATTTCCGAGTAGAGGTGAATTCTGGGGGTTGAGCAAAGGCATCTGTTCCCATTTACAGATCTGTTGGCACAGCCAACCAGTTTTAGTTCTGGCTGTTTCCATACTTGATTATGATTAAGTTATTAATAAGAACTGAAAATGGATTCTAACATGATTTTTTATATCTGATTTGAAAAAGATTATGTCAACTGCTTTTTTTTTTGTCACAAGATCACTTGTAGTTCTAAAACCATTGCAAAACGATTTAATACATAAATTGATACTACTATTTAATGACAGTTCACTTAGAATTTGAATGACTTGAAAAAAGTCAGATTAAGATCTCAATAAGGGAAACTTTCCAGACTCTTTATTTTATTTCTTAATTATTGTTGAACAATCAAATGACATTACATGAACAATTTTATTTCCCAGGTCGCAGACAGTTCACCAATACCAGTTATACTGTACAGTGTGCCAGCAAACACAGGAATTGACTTACCCGCCGAATGCATTATTAAGTTATCATCTCACCCAAACATTATTGCTCTAAAGGACAGTGGAGGAGATGTATGTAAGAGCGCACTGAAATTAGGGATGAAAGAGAGTCCCTCTTTACCCCCTTTCCACCGAAAAAAAATTGTCAGGCGTCGATGGCTAATTTAAAAACGCAACCAGAAATGGCAACTGATACAAAAATGTCCAATGAAACTGTTATTCCACAATTTAAGCTTCTTAGAAATATTTTAAAGTGCGTTTTCGCGTAATATGTTATTTGCCTTTATTACACCCATTTTGAAATCACTGGTGGTCCCTGTAATCTGATTGGCTCTAATTGGTGCGATTTATTCACGAATTGCACCATTTTTTGCTTTAAATCGCATCTTTTTTCCAGTTGAAGAGGAGGCTACACTAAAAACAAAACAACCAATCAGACTTCAAGGCTTGTTTAAAGTAACCGATCAAATTGCAGGAAGATGAAAGACATGAAGGATCATGCGGCAAATTTTGCAACTTTTGTTTCCAAAACTCTTATTTTTTCCTCCCAAAAAATGGATGACTTTAATTCCAAACTGGCTCAGTATTGTAGTAATAAATATTTGAACTGACCAAGTCCTGTATTTGGGCGATTTCAAAATGGATGTAATAAAGTGGTAATTGAACCTCGTGTTGTGCAATTTTGGTCTGAAATTATACTTGTGATTTCAAATTGAACTCGCGCTGCGCGCTCGTTCAATTTTGAAATCACGCGTATGATTTCAGCCCAAATTGCACTCCACTCAGTTCAATTACCATTATTAATGCACTCGCATAGCTCCTGCTTACGTTTACTCGACTCAGCCCATTCAAATTTAAAATTTAAAATCCTTTTGGAGCAACTTCAGAATACCCGGCCACTCATTTACATGTCATTGAATAAGAATAGCGTCTATTGTGTGATGCCTCAATCTTCAAGGCTAAAACAAAATAAGTTGTCGCAATGCTCACTGTGTATTCGTTGCACGAAAATTGTTCCTTTCCTTACAGAATGTCAGATTTTTCTAACTGAATAAGTTAAAACAAGTGGTTCAACTTTCAAACGAGTGTAAATAACTCACCTTTCAACTCTTTGACATTTGTTTGACAACATTATTTTCACAGCCTTGCTTTATAAGATCAACTTTGTGCGAAAGCACTGGCCTTTTGAGCGCGCGTAATTTCTTGGTGGAAAACTTGCATTCTTCGTGGATGGTTGCGCACGCCTGCTTTTTCCCGCCCTTTACCATTCTCTTCTTCAGAGCCCCTCACCGTCACGCAAAGTTTTAGCACAGAACAATCTCATTCAAGAGTCACGCCTGAGTCCTGCTTCCGGGCTTGTTACTAGTGATTGTTTGAGTTCAAAACAAACAAAGCCAGGTTAAGGGAAAATTAAGACTTCATTAGTATTTGATTTAATTTCCACTGTTATGTTGCTTAATTGTTGAAATGTTTTGAAATTTCCCGATCATATGGCGGGCAGGTTGCGGAACGGAGAGGGGACTGAAATGACTTATTGTAACCTAAGTAGTGTTTACTTGACTAATATTCTTTAAATTATGATTTATTTATCGTTTTATTTTTCCCTTTTTTCTTCTTCTAGATCACCAAGATTGGTTACGTGATCCACAAGACTGCTGGAAACAATTTTCAAGTATTGGCTGGATCAGCTAGCTTTCTTTTGGCTTCTTATTGTCTTGGTAAGCCAGTTCTTTTTATTAACACCAGAAAAAGAGTTGATGTAATTCTGGGTTAGGCAGGGAGAAGGTGAAGATAGCTTGGCAAATGAAAGAACAAGTGTGTCAAACTTGAAATGTTTTGAAAGCAAATACTTGATAAAAGTGGCTGTGTTACCTTTGTTGGGACCCATTGGGTTGATGCGTGTTTTTGGTTTGCAACAAACGTTTTCCATATATATTTTAAGGTGCCGTTGGAGGCGTGTGTGCTCTCGCAAACGTTTTGGGAAGAGAAGTTTGCAAGCTACATGAAATGCATAAACATGGCAAAATGGAAGAAGCTAAGCTTCTGCAGCACAAATTAATTCTCCCAAACACAGCGGTATGAGAAAATATTTTGAGTACTTTTTGTTCGTATGTGTTCCTGACACGTGTAGCTCCGTTCTGTTTACTAATCCTGTTAACCCTCTAACTCACACGAGTGACCAAGACAAAATTCTCCTGACAATATCGATACAATATCAAGCAGAAAAGTGATGAGAATAAATAATGGTAATTGGACTGAGTGGAGTGCAATTTGGGCTGAAATTATACGCGTGATTTGAAATCACAGGTATGATTTTAGACCAAAATTGCACGACACGAGGTTCAATTACCACTTTATTACATCCATTTTGAAATTGCCCAAATACAGGACTGGGTCAGTTCAAATATTTTACTGATGCAGTACTGAGCCGGTTTGAAATTAAATTCATTCATTTTTTTTTTTTTGGGGGGGGGGGGGGGAATAGGCATTTTGTAAATAAAAGTTGCAAAATTTGCCACATGATACTCTTTTTTCTTTCATTTTCTTGCGATTTGATTGGTTACTTTAAAAAAGCCTTGAAATCTGATTGGTTGTTTTGTTTTTAGTGTAGCCTCATTGGCTGGAAAAAAGATGCGATTTAAGGCAAAAAATGTTGCGATTCGTGAATAAATCGAACCAATCAGAGCCAATCAGATTACAGGGACCACTAGTGATTTCAAAATGGGTATAATAAAGAAAAATATCATTAAATGGATTATTAGTTGATCTAATACCAAATTCTCCGAACTAACATTATAAGAATTGTATGGTTGATAGTAACGAGAACTACTAATGAGATCTAGAGATCTATTACTACATTGTGTGTCATCGCTTAGCATGGTTAACCAAAAGTTTATAAGATTTATAGTCCTTGACAACATAACTCGATTTTTTTTTCTTCTACCACCACATTAGTCTATGGCATTTTTGAGCTTGTGGAAGGAATAAAGATAATTTCTAATATTTTATCTTTCTCATTTTTTCAGGTAACCAAGACATATGGTGTTCCAGGACTGAAGAAATCTATGGAGTTTTTTGGCCTCTACGGAGGACCCACGAGATCTCCGCTCCTACCTCTGAAAGAGTCTCAAGAAGCTGAACTAAGAGACATTTTCAAACTGTTTGGAGGATACCAGGCATAGAGAAGAATTTATTAACATTCAAACCCCTAAGAGTGATTAGCATCTTATTTCTCCTTACACTATCAATGTTGAATCAAACGTTAAGGCCATGAGAACAAGGAAAATGCTCACCCATCAGTGAAGCTCTTGATTTTTGAACAAATTTTCCATGTCAGTGCCATAGGAAATGTAAAGAGAACAGTGTGGAGGATATGGATACCTATCCTAGGGTTTTAGGGTCGAAGACAATTTCCATACACTGAATATAAATGAATCTTAATGGTAGCTAGTTTATTTTTATAAGTATTGAGACCTGTAATAGAGAAATTCGGCTGAACCCTTTTATATGGGGAAATTTGACAAAGTGAAATAATATATTTTTAAAAGTGAGGTGCTTTCATGATTAAGATAGTATAGTCGACGTTGACTTCGATGACGTTATGGCTTCCGCTACAAATAATCTCTTTGCTACAATTTGCACAGCTTGCCTAACAGAAGTATTCTTTGGGTTTGTGAGGGGATTGAAGGCGTGTGAGTATAGCCTGCGAGAGGTTTTCGTTCTTAGCGCTGTGGCACGAGCGTTTCTTCACCGGCGAGAATGTTTTAGGCTTTAAGCAAATCAAGTAAGTGACAGAGGACAGCGGTGACACTGGTGCCAGACCCTTCGCAGACCTACAGCTACCTCGCTCGGCTCATAGCCTCAAATTTTCTTGCGGGCGAAGAATTTCTCGTGTGTCAGCCTTCAGGGCCTTCTCGCAAGGTACGTTTCGACCAAAATTTGAGCACCGGAACAGCTTTAGTGTAGCGTACTTGAAGGCAATCTTATTTTCATGATTGGCATGTAATCGTAGCTACATAGCTACGATATTTAGCGAAACTAGACATAAGTTCACCAGCGTGACCTCAGTCGCTAATATGGGTAAAATCTTGGCATGGTAGCAACACGATTTTCACACTAATTATTTTAATTGTATTTTCCATAAGCATATGAAAAACTCCTGGAAGTGTCATCCCTTTCACACACTGTTTCCACGCGGTCTTCACTTAGATATTGAAGGAGACAAATGGAAAACTTGCAATCACATATGCGTGAATCTCACATTGACGGCGGTTTGTAAGTGGACCTACCTCTAATGTAAACTCAGGCCTTCTATAGAGTGCATGAGTAAAAACGGGAAAGTGAATGTAACAGAAATTATGATTAAGGGAAATAAAACCATCGAAGTTGTATTGACGTTTGTTACATCGTTAATTACAGCAGAGGTATACTCGATTGTATTATGACTACGTCTTGTCGGTGTCCATGTCAAGAGTGAAGTAACAACAATTTGAAAATTTGCGCTGACGCACTTGCAGCCCCACAGGTCTGCGAAGGAGACCTGCAAAATCTACTCGAGTAATTCCTGGATTCCTTTGCGATACGGAAACCATATTTGAAGCGTAAATTTAGTACGTTCTATCCAGACGATCATGGTCGCCTTGATGGCCTTAACATTTTCTGGGGCCTCCCGGACTATCATAGGGAAGTAAGGCTCAAAATATGGCGTCGACCCTGACCCTTGAATGAGGAGATGCTCCCTATTTTCCCAGTATCCTTCGCAATATCTATGCTCAGCAGTTTTATTTTCTTGCTCTCTTCGACCTAGACTTGTCAAATGAAGAAATAGCTTTGACAATTCGACCTTTAATTATGATTATGGTCCGATCGTGGTCATGGTGTAATTACTTTTCGGGGGCTCAGCACACAATGGAATTCGTGAAACCCGCAGTATGTAAATAACTAATTTTGGGTAAAACTTTCTTGGCGTCATAAGTGAGACTCTTTCCGCTAAACCATTGTGCGCACACTCTTAATTACTGTAAGAAGCCGCATCGGATTCTACCCTCATTTGGTACATTAACAATAAGCAATTGTCATCAAATAGCAGTCAGTCAAGTTTTATTGCCAAGGCAATTAGATTATAAGTTTACTTTTGTTATTTGCAAGCACTTTCTATAGTCAAACAAAAGGTAAACAGTTAGAGATCCTTTTTCCACTTCTTTGCATGAATTGGCGGATATTTAATTTGTTGGCTCTTCACATGCAAAAACTTCCTACGAGCTCTGTATATGAGTTGGGACTGAACATTATGTTCAACTAAAATTGTATGCATTGTTGTCTTCATCACATTGACCAGATTCAATGTCAACTTGTCTTTCTGTTCCGCGTTTCTTATCTTAAGTTCTCAAAGTTGTTTCAAATACAGTGTGGTCCAGCACCACGGTTCTTCCTTACTTTTACGTGGTGTACTTTATCTACATATACTCCTACGAATTCACTTGTTACTGTGAGTGGGTTTCTCTACCAAATCTACACTTTCGGGTCTTTGCTGAATTTCACTTCCCCTTTGCGACACACATCCAGGTTTTACAACGGGCATATGCTCCATCGATTTGGTCTTTCTTACTGGGTAAGCACGAGGAACATCTAATCTTGAACTTCTTAACGGTGTTAAACACTGCTGTTTTAAAGCACTCTGAATATTTTCTATTGGGGACTTCGATTCGTCATAATGTCCCGTATAACCTCGTCGAACTTTCTTCAAGTCGTCCAAAATTTCCTTGCGCTGTTGCTGAATTTGGAATCGTTCTCGTTTCTCTTTCTTCGACAACCCCGTGAACTCTTTGTAATGACGCCAATCCTCCACTTTTGCGTTTCCTTTCAAAGCTCTCTTGTCCAAATCTGCGGCTAACAGCGTGTGCTGCCGGTCGATTTCTTGTTGTGTTTTGCTATCCCGGGCTGGGATCTTTTTACGTGTGCTCTGCTGAGCCATGCTACTAGACATCGACATCAAACAAACTTGCATAAATTACTCTTTCTTTTGTTTCTTTAGACAATGGAGGTGTGATGATTTTGTTAGGAGATGACCTGGGGTTATAAACTCGTTTGAATTTCTGTTGAAACTTTAACATTCCTTTACCTAGCGTACACAACACTGCTGTTACCTCCAAGCTTTCCGTGCGTACGTCCTTGAAAAGCTTTTCGGTAATCTAATGGGAACTGGTACATTCTTCTTTTGTTTGAAGATGGTATTGACGTGATTTGTAACTTAAAGTTGTTCATTGTTGCCATAGAAACCATCTTTGACGACTGCCTCTAAATCGCGGGTGAACAACTGATGACGTTATTTGCATGAAGGTGTGAACTTGACCGAGGTTTAATGAGAGCCTGGTCTAAGGTTATTCGTATTTTAAGGCATTAAGTGAGAAATTTTATTTTTTCTTGGCGTGCAAGTTTAGGAAGTATGCAAGCATTTTCACGGCTTGTTGGCCTCAGGAGCCCTACCTAAAAATTAACGTTGTATAACTTAGTCTCGACTCTGCGCCATGAATTCAAGAGCCGACTAGAGACCAAACTTTTTACGATTGCGTAGAATGTGTAGCCAGACAGAATACAGGTACGGTATGCAGGAAACTCGACGTTATATTTCCATCGAGATTGCATAAAGCCTTCCCATCACGCCCTTTGTTTGCGACATCATTTCCACTCTATATCAAACATTTGACCACTATAAGAATCTGTTAAGATGCCGAGTATTTCACGAGCCGAACTTAATCCAGATGGGGACTGACCCAATTTCGAAAAAGTTCACCTGTTGATTCAGACGCCGAACTTAACAAGTCATCCTTATGTAGGTCAGCACGCGGAAGCAACATGTCAAAAAAAAAAATGATCACAAATTAATCGATGGAGCTTATGTTTTCTTTTGGCATAATTGTTTTTTTCAAATTCTAGGCCAACTCTGATGACGTTTCCTTCATTGAGTTTCTAACCGAAAAGCATAAGGTGAGAGGAGTCGGAAAAAAGGTGAGTCCTCTGTCATTCCCATAATTCCTAGTAGCCTCTCGCTTTTCTGCCGCGCGGATGAGATGCTCCGCTGGAAGACCAAAACGGGAATTAAGAAATGGGACGAGTTTGTATCCCTCAGGGTCAGGTCGCTCACAGCCTGCAAATCAAACTGCGTCTTGCGAACACACAATTACAACCACTTAAAAACGGGAACTTTATTTACTCTTCAAGTTACGTTTCATTTTTGTGTGGAAGGCAATATTTACAATGTCCGTCTTCGTTAGGTTAGCATCATAAAATAATCTGACTGACTGCTAATAGTTGACAAAAACAAGATGTACAGTGATATATGAGCGGAAAACAACGTAGATCTACTAAGCCAACTACAGAATAAGGTGTTTATGACTCTGAATGCGGCGATGGAAGAAACTTTAACGAAAACAACTCGTTTAAGTACAAAACTAGTGGTTTTACATTTTCACCAAAAAATAAGATCAATGTTCATATATTTAGCACGATTTAAAAGTTTCTTTGCATATTTTTCAAGCTAATTTAAGTTCAATAACTTTTTACAAACTCCTTGCTTTACGATTATAATCAACTTTTGCTGGTAACCCTTTCACTCCCAAGATCTCATAAGTAATTCTCCTTACAGCCTGTCATACAATTCTTATGATGTTAGTTCTGAGAACTCGGTATTGGATCAACCAATAATCCCTAGATTGTTGTTTTTCTTTATCCCTATCACTGTTGTGCTCGATATTGTACTGATAACGTGAGAGGAAATTCAATCTTGTTCACCCATGGGAGTTAAAGAGTTATCTAAGTCATACCACTCTCAAAACTAACTTTACAATAAATACAAAGTGAAACAAATTCAATCCGATAACGTTTTCTGACTGTTCATTCAAATCATTTTCACCCAAAACAAAGCTAATAATAAAACAACCAAAATAAAAATTGTTGCTTCTGCATTGTGCAGCACACGCAAACATCTGTGTGTTATCCCCAGGCTACAAAGAACTTGAATATACTATTCTATAACTGTACATGCACTACGACCTAAATTACTAACGCACTAAATATCATTTGAAATCCAGGGTTGCTATTCTCACAAGCGAAAAAAAAAATTGTGGATAAAATATGTAGACCATTCAAGTATGGACTTTTGGAGTAGTTCTTGTGGCGGGCAACTTAATTCTCTCATGTAGAGCTCCAAACAACATATAGAGGAAAGCTAAGAGGTTGATATTTTTTTATTTTTGATGGATATCTTTACCAAGAAACATAGAATAAGTTAAGAACTGGATGTTTCTGCTCTTTTGGTTAGGGAAAATTGGTTTGATGGAAAAGCAGTAAACACACAGAATGAGATAAGTGTTATAAAGAGAAGGGCTGAGTTTGTTTAAAACTTTAACATTAATAACTTAAGCTCAGGTTGGCAGAACGTACGTGTTAAACGTGATGACAAAACAGCAAATGTTAAAGAGTGGAATTAGATTTCCGAAGTTAAAAGTCAACTAGGCAAAAAAATTGAGGTGCAATTTCTGGAAACATTTTTTTGGTGTTGCGTGGTCAACAAACTTGGGGACATAACTCAACTGATGAACCACCACAAGATCATTCTAAAATACATCTGTCTCTACAATGATAACTTTACCTTAGACAAAAGTAGTCATAGGGTAAATTTTGAAGTCAAATTGGATGAACTTTTCTGCTATGTGGAATTCACAAGTTTAACATGTTTGATTAGAAATTTTTCATTTTATAACTAAGACTAGGTCTACTTAGTTTCCACAGCTTTAGTCGTGATATACTTGTTAAGCCAGCTTGGCATGGTTCAAGTTTAAGAGTAGGGAAAATGAAGTCAGACTTCAACATGTTCTGTTTGTTTTTGGTGAAGGATAGGTTCAAAGAAACTGAGTACAAAACAGTATTTAATTCATTACCAACACTAGTTTCTGAAAGCTATCTTTAAATAATAGGACACTTGCTATAAAATGTTAGAAGTTACAAAAGAAATTAACTTAACAGGATGCTATGAAGGTATACATTACTTTTGTAAAGTGAATTAAAGGTGATACCGTATCACTCATGGATCCAAATGCTACCGGTTGTGTACAATTTATCTACTCATCACTGAATCACTCATTCCCACTTTTCCTTCATTTTAAAATGAGATGTTTTTTCAGTTTAGAAATTCAAATGCAAATTAATGATGTGCACCTATCTTCTTTCTGAAAGAAAAAAGAAAAACATTTTTCCTTTCAGTCAAGAATCCTGAAGAAGTCGACTTATATTTTCAAATGAAGGAGTTTGGATTACATTTCTTAACTTTCAAATGCCAATAACACTCATTTGCAACGTTTTCAAAAGATTTACTAGGATACAAAAAGAAATGAATAAAACACTGGGTGGGGGTACTTGGGTCAATTTTTGTTAGGTGTGCTGCTGGCCTTTCAGAACCCCTTCTGCAGTATAGTCTATTCTGTGGCCAATTATAGATCCAATATTGGTCATTTTTAGGCCAGTGTAATTGTTGTGATCCCGATGGTAACAACCTTTTAATTAAGAATTTAATTTTTTTTTATTTCTAAATCCCTCCTAACCAGAATTTTCCAGAATTTTCTATCCTCAAAAATCCTAAAAATGTCTATTAACTCTATTAAAAGTGTAACCCTGTGATAGTCAATCTAGGTGTGAAAATGTGGCCCATCCCCGCCCATCCCCATTAGGCTTTTTCTTGGAAGCACCCCCCTTCCCCCCCCCCCCCCCCTGCTACACTTGAGAGACTAATCACTGACCATAATACTCACGTTGTGTGCGTTGTTTATGTCTTGCACTGGTTGTTTGTGGTGGGGCTGTTCCTGGTAGAGCTGTAGCCCCTGCACTCATTGGAACAGCAGATTGTTGGCCTACATTCTGTTTCAGAAGTGTCCAATCAAATGTGTAGTCATACTGGTGGTTCAACGTCCTGAACAGAATTCTGTACAGTTGGCGAAGATACATGTAATCTGGTGCCTCTTCAAATTTTAATCCTCTGCAATAGTTTAAATACATGGCAAACTCTGCAGGAAAACCCTGCAAAACAACAACAACAACAACAACCATTGTAAGCTTATGTGAAAAAAAAGTAATCTACTTGCCACACCTTTAACTCCTAAGATCTGATTATTTATCCTCCCCTTTTGCTACACACATTTCCTTGACATCTCCATGTAATTACAGGAATTTAGTGTCAGATCAAGGTAACAACTTGTACCTGATAAGTTTGAGTATTCTCATTACCTGTTTGCTAAATAATGTATGGATACTATAGGGCAAGTTACATGTTAATCACTTCTACAAGTTTAAGGGTTAGGAAGTCTCTCCTGTCTTCTACCACTTGGGGTGACTTGTGGATTTACTACTCTTCCTGAATGAGATACTTTTTTATCACTTGCAGCCCATTTTCCCCCTAAACTCTTTTTTGGAGAAGAACTGTTTTTGTCAGTAATGTTTTACAAATGCATCATTTTAGCCCCACCAGTAACCACTGTAGACTTAAAAAATTAAGGTGGTACCACATCCCTAAAAATGTTAGGACACTTTCTCTTGGTTTTATAATAAGGTATAGGTGTCATATTTTTCTCTTAAAAATTCAAATATTGGGCCTAAGAAAAGACAAAACATAACAACTCACTTTACAAAGAACTTCAACTGGTGTGGACATCTTTTTTTCACTTATTCTTTCATACTTCTGTTTCTTTGTAGCAGCCTGGACAGAAGATAAATCATGAAAAGTTGTCATGACTATAATATACCACTAGATGTAACTTGGTTAAAACATCTAGGTATATCAAGTTTTTTAAGGCCTGTTTTGCACATTTTTCCCTTCTTCCCTATAACCCTGTAGAAAAAACAAAAAACAAAAACCAAAAAAAAAAAGAAACAATGTTTACAAGAATGGTAGACAACCTTAAGTCCTTGCCAAGGAAGGCTGCTCCTGGCAAAGTACATTAATACATATCCTAGTGATTCCATGTCATCTCGGCGTCTGTTGTGGAGAGAAAACAGTTAAAGAAACACTTGTTAATAATTTTGTATAAGTGAAGATTAAACTACTGACAGACTGATGTCTGCTTAACCAAACTAAACTAGACTAAATTGATAGAAGAATGAACATACAGGTAACCAAGACAACCCTGAAATCAAGGGTCAAGTAAGTTTAAAATATGGCAGTTGCATGTTATAATAAAAAGAATACAGTTCACGTTCACAGGCATAAATACATTTTGGATGTGACTTAGAGTCAGATAAGCCCAGGCTGTAAGGCATGGGTTAAATGACTCTGAGAAGGCCCCAAGACACAGGTATACCCAAAAACATAAACTCTGTTACTATATTACTGTCACTTTAGAGGGGGTTGATAAAATGAGAACCGTAAAATGATGGCAAAACTGTCTGAACAAAATGCATCACAATGCCTGATAAAGTGATATTAATAAATAAAGTAATTCCCTTTTTAGGGGCTGTGTACATCCGGGAAACTATCAAATGAATAACATTTATTGTCAACAATATTAAGAAGTAATAGTCTGTTATCAAGCATGTCGAAGAGAAATGAAGTTTGAATCTATCAATAACCAATTAAAGTCAGTATTTGAGTCATATGACCCTATCTGACAAAGCTTATCCTGATTTTCATAGAATAAAGAAACTAAGAGTAGTACCACTGAACTCTGAAATACCATTAACCCTTTAACTCCCAAGATCTCACAAGTAATTCTCTTGTAATATTAGTTTGGAGAATTTGGTATTGGATCAACTTATAATCCCCTAATTAACCTTTTTTCTTTCTTCTCATCACTTGTCTGCTTGATATTGTATTGATATTGTCAGGAGAAACTCTGTCTTGGTCACTGGTCACTCATTGAAGTTAAAGAGTTAAATTGCATGTCAACCCTTCCTTTCCCACCCTCCCCCCCCCCTTCCCAAGCATTTCTTAAGATTTCCCTGACAGATTGCCAATACAAATGTTCTCTCCCAGGTGTAGAGGCACTACAAAATAGTCCAAGCAAATATCAGAATGAACTGGCTAGGACTAACACCAGAACTTTATAACATGAAATCTGGTGATCTAATCACTTCTCCCCTGCATCTACGACCCAATAAAAAAAACCACGTTTACTCACGATTGCTCAATTCCAAGGTGTGCATTTATGCTGGCATATCTAGCAGTGCCTGTGAGATTCTTGTCTTCCCTGTAAGGTATATGCTGCTTGGTTTTACTGTCCCGAAACTTCTTTGCTAAGCCAAAGTCAATGATGTACAGCTATCGAAATACATAAAATTTAAAAAAGATCATTAATTTGCTAAATACTACAAATTATTGACAGATACGAGAGCAAGGAGCGAGAAAAGTAAAAAAAGAGAAAAGAAAAGGAAAGAAAAACGGGCAAAAAGTTAATGTTTTTAAATGTTTTTTCATGTTCACCTTGTTACAGCATCTGCTTGTGCCCATTAGAAAATTGTCTGGCTTAATATCTCGGTGAATGAAATTCTTGTTGTGGAAATATTCAATGCGACCTATCATCTGGAAGGAAAGATTTCGACAAAGATGACAAAATGTTTGCAAACACAATGTGGAGCAAATTACACAGTAACAGTGGCTTCAAAAAGTTTTAAGGATAACCTCCCCTAGGTGTTGATAAATAATCTTGAATCAGTGTGAGTATCAGTTGACACCTTATCATTAGTATATATTTTCTCTCTAATGATCTCTATACATTTCCTAGGTACTGACAAGGAGAATTTCTTTAAAAATTGTGAACTTTTGAAGTTTGTGATTGTTTCCTTTATTCTCACAACCTTAATGTATGATTAAGGGGTGATATTGTAAGGAGAAATTAGATGTTTATTACTCCTAGGGTTTAAGGGTTAATAGTATAACTGCTTTGGTGATTATAGAGATGCATATGCTCTGATTGGTTTAGGATTGTGTTATATCACTTCCTCTGTAACACTAACAAAACACAAAGCAGTCATTTTAAAATTTAGGCCTCCTGTTACAATCACCTCCTGCAAGATGATTAGAGCAGAGCATAGCCCCATAATTATACAAAATAGTAGTAACCCATCAAGCTGAAAAAGTTTGGATGTACGACCGTACAAGGTGCTACTTTTAACATGCGTGGTCACCTGTACTGCAGGCACGCCAGCACCACGGCTTTGTTCAGCAGTCCAGTGGTCAGTGCACTAGACTCAGAGTCGGACAACCCAGGTTCTAGTCCTGGCCAGGGCAAGGTGTTGTGCCCTTGAGATGTGCGGGAAAAAAATGCAAGCTCTGCTTTTAGGCTTGGCTAAATCTATAGATTAGCAGGAGCACTAAATTTCAAAATGACTGCCTCACACTTTGTTAGTGTTACCGAGGAAGTGATGAATGCGATAAAGAAAAGTCAGTTCAGAAGAGCACAAAAGATGCTCTTAATTTTGGAGTAACACTTTTTAAAAGAGAGATACGAAATTTTGGCTGATTGAATTAAATGAACCTATCAAATTCAAGTGAAACTGGCTCTTTATCTTGATACAAGTAATCAAAACAATTGAAACAGAAAAGATTCAACAAAATGAATATTTACTACAGAATTTGAAAGCACTGAACTATTACACTAAAACAATTATTTGCCTAAGGCTTTGGGAATATTATTAAACTGTCCCCTTGACATCATTTCCAGGGCTTTCCCAACAATATTTACTTTGCCTTAGATGAATAGTTGTTAAAATTTAACAACTATTCATCTCTTAATATGGTAGGAAATGTCTTGTAAGACCAACCTGGTCAGCTAACATGAGAACTGTTTTCATTGTAAACTTCCTATTGCAGAAATTAAAAAGGTCTTCTAAGCTGGGTCCTAACAAATCCATCACTAACACATTGTAATCTCTCTCTTGACCATACCATCTGCAAAAATGAAACAACACAATCACAATCCAGTGGACAGCCAAATCTAAGTAAAGAGGCTTGTTTCACAAGCTATTACATTATGTGTTCCTTTCAAGTAAAATACCACATTTCCTCAAACAAGTACCCACACCCTTATCTAAAATTTTTGCTAAAAGGGGGGGCCCTTATTGAAAGGACAGCACTCAATCGAGGGGGGGCACTTATTAACTTAGTGCAGCAATAGGACAAAAATCCAAAGAAAAGATAATGCACATAAATGAACTCTGCAAGCACATGGAGATAGAAATATCTGGAAGGAAAACCAAACTATTCACTTTTACTGATTCTGCTGTAGTTGAAGCTTAAAAATTCGTTTTCTCTTCACTGTTTTCTTTACATGTTCTTTGGTAATGATGAAGAGAATTTGTCTCAAAATCAGCTTCTTGAATTGCTGATCATTTCTATTATTCTCATAACCTGCACATTTGATTTAAGGTTTATACTGTAAGGAGAAATTAGAAGCGATTTAACTGTACCATACCTAAATTTAGGAATACCATTTCCTCCTTGTAATATCTTATAGAGCTTAGACTCATACAACAGTTGTGGATGTCTTGCTTTTTGGGATTCAAGTTTAACTGCCACATCCTGCAAAAAAGGATGTCTCAATGATGTTACAGTGAACATTGAATTTGTTTATTTGCTGTCAGTTCTTAGCCACTGGAAGCCACTCTTGGGCTATGGAGTTTCAAATTTTTTCTGTGACAATACACAGCTCCATTTCACTTTCAACAAATATTTATTACTGCAAAAATATCCTCATATGAACAAGATGGAAATCTTTAGGACTGTAAGTTGTAACTTAATGAAAATCAGTCAGCTCAGGCATTGAACTAAAACAATTGTGCATAGATGAATGAATATCATGTTAATTTTAACATAATTACTACAGGGAGTGTTGGTTCAGAAAATTAACAACATGTCATCACTGTTTTCTGTGGTAAACAAGTCAGTAAAATCCACTTCAAGTTCCAATTGTTATGCATACACTGTATACATTGTTCTCCAGAAGTAAAAGCAGCTGGCTTTTCACCAGCTACTTGATTCTGAGACAGCCACTATTTCAGTAGGACAAAAGAGTTAAATACCTGTCTTCATCTGAAATTGATTTTAACCTTTGTTTCACATTAGTATATACCCAAAAAGATTGATTAGTACTAAATGACAACAATATGGAATAGATACTAGGGAAATAGATATTCAATCCCTCTATACACTTTCCGATTTTCCCTGTGCTACTGTAGTTTTTATGGCTACTGAAAAACCTTTGAAAAAAAACACTGATATAGAAATGACTTGTGATGAAAGTTTGCTTGCATTGTTGTTTGCCTAGGCAACAATTGAAAGCACATTGAACATCTGAAAGGAAGATAAAACAGCTAAGGCTATACATAATTTTAATGCCCACATTTACTTATTGTGTCTTCAACTGGTTGTCATTCAAATGACACCTTTAGAATTCACTGTTTGGGCTCTTACACCTGATTGAATGATTTGATGGAAAATCACCCCAAACAACAACATTTTCCTCAAATCTTTACCATCTCCTTGCTGTTTTTATGTCTGTCTTCTTTTGATTTCAGTGTTATGGAAATATTTTCCCATCAAATTTCATCAATCTTCACTTTTAGAGTGAGGCTTGTGGGGAAAATTATGTACTACAATGCAAAAATGCATAAGGCCTATCCACAAAATTCACAGAACTAGCAAATTATGTACTATCTGGACACAAGATGGAATATCAAATGTATAAAGGATGTTTTTATTTCAAATTGTTTTTAGTTTCAATTCCTTTTTTGCTGTTATAAAAACTGTAATTTCATCTTTAACTTTGTCAGTGTTGGCTAATAAAAATGCCTACTAGAATACCAATTTGTAATTAAATTCAACCCCCCTAAAATGGAACTGATGAGTCAAGAGATCAGTTGCATGAAAAATTTCAATGTTTTTTTAATTTTTCACTTTGGACAATTCTCAGTCTTTTCAGTTACCTTCTCCACACCTGTTGGTGTCATTTATAGCATACCCCAGAAAATCCCTTTAAAATGATATATCACACCTGGTCCAATGGTTCATCATTCTCATTTCAGAAAGAAATTGGCATTTCCCTTGGGCAGTAAAGGGTAAAGAAAGGATATGCAATTCAACTCTAAACCAGTGCTCAGTTGATGCGGAACAAATTACAGTTTTTCAGCCGTGACAGAGATGAATTTCTTAAAACATAACACAGACTCACACATTTTATGGCTTTTCAGCCTAAAAATCACTGGGATATCTATTAATTGTTTAAAATCTAAAGTATAACTTTTATACAGAAGTGTCTTATCACCAGAATTTGACAAGGTTGTATCATTGATGGCAGAGTTCAATAAACACATAGTAAGTTGCTTTCATAACCTTTGCAGAGATACTATAACAACAGTTCTTCCAAGAACAAAATTTGGTGAACATGGGGACATTCAAGAAACACAGTCTAAATGTAATAGCTACAGTACACCTTTGAATTTTGTATCTATAATTGACCTAGAACTTATTGGCTGTGACAGAAATATGTTCTATTTTGTTTATTTCTAAGCTATTTTAAGTAGTTTCAACATACAAATGTAAGGTCATGCTGAAAATGAGATTTCTTTTCCAATTTTTTTTTTCTAGAATTCTAGAGGAAGGAAAAACAACAACAACCAAGTTTGCCATAACCCAAGGAAGGATAGTGATATTGCTCCATACAAACCTCGCCATTTGTAATATTCAATCCTTTGTAGATATCACCAAAAGACCCACTGCCTATTTTCTGCTGCAATTTATATTTCCCTCCAACGATAAACTCCGAGCGAGCGCTGGTAGGTTTCTGCATTTTAGAAACCTTATAATCACACTAAAACAAAATACACAGAAATATACGGAATAAGGAGTGAGGTGAGAAAAACTGAGAATAAATAACACAGTACAAAGCTAAGGATCGTTGCGAATAACCGCATTACGCTTTAGAAAAAAATTTGCATCAAGTCGCTAAAAAATGTATCTAATACAAAAAGTACTGTTTACTTGAAGACGTGCGTACTCTTATGAAGCAATAATTATATAACTGAGGGGTAGCGCTCTGAGAAATTGCTCAACACAGAGCGCAACAGATTTCAAGTTACACAAAATTTCGAAACAAAGGAATTTCTTTTTTTGTATCCCGCAAGAATAATTGTTGACATCTATAAGGTTGAAAGTTCATCCCTGATTCTTATTCGCGTACCTCAGAGGCTATATTTTGACATCTCCTGTTGTGGTTAATATTTCATAAATTATTCAACCCATCGACATGGTCAGAACTACAAAACATACATCAATATATTTATATACATGCATTTATATTCCTTCTTGTATCCATTCTCTGAAAAATTCCACTCTAGCCTACTCCTTTTTAGATGAAAGTGCAAATGAACTAATCTTTTACTTGTAAGAAAATGACATCCAATTCCAATTCAACAAATCATAACGTGCCTCTTTCCTTAAGAACATTCATTGCCAGAGCGTTTCTCCTTTGTTTGGCAATGTTACTTACCTTATGAAGAAGAAAAAGAATGACTAATTATCTCTGACATTGGCTTTATCGGAAAGAAAGAGATCGAAGACTGCGCTTCCCTCATAAACTGACAGAAACTGAGATTACATCCTTAATCTCCATATTTCATCGAATGTCCTCCATGTTTTTCCTTACTTGAAACAAAGAGTATTATGGGATGCTACGTAACTAGGGGCATCATCAGGGGTAATCGATATTTTTATATCGATTACTTGTGACTTGAAGATGGCGGCTGCTGCTTCGAAATCTAGAGTTGTCTTATTGAGTTGCGGCTCTTTTAATCCTATCACTTTCCTACACCTGAGGATGTTTGGTAAAGATGCAATTTTTGAGGAATATAATATTTTCTTATTTTCAGTTATTTGTCGTACATTTTCCGTTCCCTAGTTTGTCATAGCTCTTTGGAGATTCTTGCTTTTGGTCTGATTTTTCAGAAATTGCTCGTGATGCTCTGCTCAAAACGGGTATTTATACAGTGGTACAAGGAATATTTTCTCCGGTGAATGATGGATACAAGAAAAAGGCTAGTAAATTGGAAACCGCAATTTGATCTTTTGTCAACAAGTTTCAGGTTTTGATTGGGATTTATTGACACATTGTTTTCTAAATATTTGGCAAAGACACCTTTGATTTCAGCTGGCTCCTGTCTCTGAATAAACAATTATTAACTTATTTAAATAAATCTTTTGAACCAAAAGGCAGACCACCGTTTTGATACAAAAATTCTCAAAATTCACACGTAAATTAACTGATTGGCATCTGCATCCCATTACAAATAAATTGTTTTTTTGTATAACGAGAGATGGCTCAAGTGCACCTGTATGATCAGGAGTCGGAATTTACTCTCATTAGCCTTTTACACTCTAACATTAGCATTCATATTCATTACACTATTCTCTTTATAATTCCTATGGTGCCGACAGGAGAATTTGTTTGACAATCAGGAGCTTCTTACATTGGTGATCATTTTCTTTATTCTCATGACCTAGAATTTTGATTCAAGAGTAATACTGTGAAGGGAAATTTGAAGCCAGACACTCTCAGAGGTTAAGGGTTAAAAGAAACTGTAAGGTTGGATCTTCTTTCAAACTGCCTTGTGGAGTGGTTTGGGTAGCAATGAACTGAGTGGACCCTTTACCTTCTTGTCCTTCCCCCCCGCCCCCCTTCTTCATTTCCATTCAGTTCCTGCCAAGTTCAAAATTTGTATTTTCTCTGTCTCTTTGCCCGATTCCCTTTGACCATCAGTAGTCTTCATACTATTGGTCATGTTCCCACATACCAACAAAGAACATGTGTGAGACATTTGGTCACAAGGGGAGGGGGAGAAAAACAACTGAAAGAAGGAACTTTATGGTTTTGCATTCACCAGCTTTCTGACTGTGTCCATCTGAAGAGAGCCTAGTAGAGGCTAACTCAAAATGTACTTCATGCAACTTTTTCTCAGATCTAGTCTGATTTTCTGAATTCAATCCCATTAGGACCTAATTGAATCTGAACACAGAATACAAATGTGTAGACTTGGAGTTCAAACATCGGATTGGATAAGGTAACATCTTTGACTTTGATTCAGCTTTCTAAGTTGTTTTGTTACATCATGACATTTCATGATAATTTTTTTTCATGCAGTGTGGATGACTGGGAGAGTAAGCAGGCTGGTTGGACACAGACAGCCAAAGTTTTGAAACATTTTGCTGAAGATGTTGTAACTAAATTCCCAGGTAATTTACAGTGTGCTGTCATGTAGTACATTGACCTGCTAGAGAGAAAGTTGACACTGATAAGTAACAAATGAAAGAAAACTTTTTTTGCTTTCTCTGGTACTTAAATCAGTACTCTGAGCCACAGGTTTTAATGTTTGGGTAGAATTTATTAATTAAGGTGATGAGGAGGAAATGATTGAAAGCCACTGTAAATTGCTGGCTGGTTTTTTTTTTCTCATGGGAACAGAGTTTGCTCATAGATCTTATCGAACTCGGCCATTGCTTGAGATTTGAATCCGAGGGAAAGAAGCAATAGCTGTAAAACTTTGTAGAATGAAGCTACTAGTGTACTAGGAGTATGGCTGGTTGTCCTTGCAATGGTAGTCCTTCACAGGTTCCCTGCCAGTATTTTGTAAGGTTTCCTTGATGATTCCTTTGTGATTCCATTGTACCCTTGGGTGGATAGAGCACAGTAAGGGTAAATAGTCTTGACTAAGAATACAATGATCCTGGCTAGGTTTTGGACTCAGATATTTTGGCTCAGAGTTTAGTGTGTTACTCATTAGATGTACATCATGTCTCCAGCTTCCCACGTAGACACTCAATGGGTCTTGTCACACTTTTTGTAAACTAAGAGAGGAATCATGAAAAAGCCCCTAAGAATGTCAGTGTGAGAGGCTACTTTATCTCTCACACGAGTTTAAACAACCAGGTTAACTAAACAATAGAACAAGACTACTTTTCTAAACTTCCAAATCTCAGACCACTCAAAATAATTTTTATTTTTGTGAAAAAGATTTTTTTTCCCTCTAGGGTCCAGTCCCCCTACGGTGAAGTTACTTTGTGGAGCTGATCTGTTGGAATCATTTGCTGTACCCAATCTTTGGGCAGATGAAGATGTAAGTAATAGAAATCCACATTAAGTATTTGATTTGGTTTAGGGAACCACAGTGCAAATAATTTTTCATAATAAGCTGAATAGAATTTGAAAATTATAGCACTGTTATTGAAACAAACTTTTCAGAGATAAGACTGTTTTTACAATGTTGAACTCAACCATTTAATCTGTTGATTCAGAGGCACTCTTTCAGGTGTTCTCATTTTTCTGTTCTGTTCGTAAAGAAACATCCTAGAGAAGGCTGTTTTGAGTGGTAATTAATACACTTGGCACCCAAGTGAGATTGGGTAGATATTTCTTCTGCAGGGAATTGTGAATGGGGTAATTATTGAGCCTTTTCCATTGAATTGGAAGGATGACTCTGAGGTGATAGGTGGTGGATGGCCAAGCAACTTCAATGTTTCCTATTTTTGTTAACATTTTAAACCTTCCTTGATTGATAATTTGACAAGTGATAATTACTATTATATAAATAAATGTCTAGACATATGTTTTGCTTTTCATTGTGAGCAGATAGAAGAAATTGTAGGGAAACATGGTCTTGTTGTCATATCACGAGTGGGATCCAACCCGGAATCTTTCATCTATGAGTCAGATGTCCTGACAAAATACATTGTAAGTTTATATCAACTTTGTCAATTTCAGTGATATAAATATTTCAGTCTAGAAGGTAATTTTTCACTCATTATAGCATTAACCAAAGAAAAGATGTGCATATGCTTTGTGATTATAGAACTTTTCATTATTGATTTCCATAATTAGTGGATATGTAACTTGTGGCAGAAATCTGTGAAAGGGGCTTCTTATTTATGATTTCTTGTCTGGTATATAAACAGAAAGTTTGATATACTTTAATATTCTTTTTCATGCTCAATAGAATAATATTCACATTGTCACCGAGTGGATATCAAATGATGTTAGTGCAACAAAAATAAGGTAAAATTAATTTATTGATTCTGTTAACTTAGTGAGGCAAGGATGGCTTTCAAAGTCCTCTGCTTTTGACTAGTAAAATAACATGAATTGTGGCAACTTCAAGGCTGACATTTAAAATCTGTAATCCAACATCATTACAGCATTAAGCACACAGAGGCAAATCTTTTTTTCTGAGTGCAATCCAGTTTGGTAATTATTCTGATTCCCTTGGGAAAATGTTTACCCTCAAAAACTAGTCTTTTTTATTCCAGTTAATTAAGGCAACCACTGAAAAAAAGTTGAAGTTTCTATTTTTTTCATGTAAATCCATTAACCTCAATCTTATGCAGATATGAAAATAGTCATTTCCTACTTCTGCAACTGCAAATTCATGAAAAGAAATTATTTAATCCTCTACATCCTGATGTCAGTATGCATATTCTGCACACTGTTTCCTTTCATTTGCTAAGGAGCTGAAAAGGGGAATTTGTTTAACAGTCAACAACTTCTGTTGGTGATCATTTCCTTTGATTTCATGACCTTCATGTTTCATTCTGGGATGACATTTTAGGGAGAAATTAGATGTTTGTCACTCTTAGGGGGAAAATAACTTAAGGGTTGATAAAAACAATACATGCTTATTGAAATAATTGTTGTTCCTCTCAGGAGAGCTTTAAGAAGAAGTGAAAGTGTCAAGTATTTGATTCCAGATCCTGTTATTGACTACATAAAGGAAAACAAGCTGTATTTTCCAACAAAGTAGCAAGAAGATTGAAGATAGGAGTTAGTAACATTACTTTCAACTCAACAATGATCAGTGAGTCAGAGCATCAAAAAAAGTAATACTTGTATTTTATTTAGGATAGGATGTACAGTGAAATGCATGTGGATTTTTAAAATCTCTTCAATGGAAGTACAAACAAATTAGCTACCAGGAAGCCTGATGTAGTAGCACACATCAGCTCCAAGAAATGTCAGTTATATTCATGAAATCAGAGTCAGTCAGTGGAGTAGAGCAAATAAGTATAACCTTGGGTTCCAGCATTTTTTCTGAATGTAAAAACTGGGACAGAGATTGAATCATTTTACATGAGATATGAGATAGGTGTACTTCTTTATTAAAATAATATTTGTAAACAAGACTTTTTAATTTATTTTTGGTTTCTCCAGGGTAAATAGAGAAAAGAGCTTAGTTTGGGCAGGGAGTCCCTCAGCCTAAGCTTATCATAGTTTCTGTTGCATGAAACACAACTAGGAGTATTCCATCCACCCTGAATGTGATACTATTCGATGGCAGATATTTCCCCCTCCCCCTGCATCAAGCTTACTTCACAGTTCCACAGTAGCCATTTACACTCCTTGGTAAGGGGGGGGGGATACTGAGGAGTGGCCCACGGAAGTATACAGCACAGTGACCTAAGCAGGTCTCAAACCCAGATTTCTTTTCCCCAGAGTCCAGAAATCATGCCATTATGTCTCAATGTTTTTCAGGGTACAGGAAATGTTACTGGTGCAAGATGGATCCTCTAATCAGTGCATGCATTCCATTTGTTTCCCAATTGACCAAGCAAGAATACACATTAAGGATGGAAAATTTAAGATTTGCTGACC